ATAACTTCAAATTGAAGTTAAGAACTTGAAATTATTACTTTTTGCTCTCTTTTGCGACCGTATTCAATTGTTATGAAACGCTAAGTAATTTCATGTTCTAAACTTTGATTAGGTCTTTTGTGGTTCGCTTCAAGCTGAAGTCGAACTGTCATCATCCAGGGACATGAGGTATTGACGATTGGTTGCGGCCGCCGCCTTTTTTTTTAAGGGCGGCGGCCAAAAAAACTTACTACGGTGCAAAAACTAGGTTATTGCTAGAATGACTTGTCACAATAATGACTGAATGTTTAAGTTAAAAATGAATAATTTATTTTGGTCAAGGTACTAATTTATTTGCAAAAATTAATATAATGGGGTTTGTACAAATCCACACTAAAAAAAAGTTTCTTTTTGTTTCCTCAGTAAGTCCAGGACTGTAAGAATTCTTCAAAGTTACTGGCTACCGTGCACTAAAGATAGTGAAGTGCAGTGCAGTTCACCGTAGCCAATTTTACCACACCAGGCATGCTACCAGGCAATACTGTGGTCAAGGGACTAAAGCTCACTGGCGCCCTATAGAGAGTACTACGTAGTCAGTAGGAATGTTGATTCCTCCAACAGACCTGAAAATTTTGGAGGGGGCTGCAAGAAATTAAGTTTATAAGAAAATTTTCTGGTAGGAAAAACATGCTACCAGATGGCGACTAGAAATGCTACCATATGGTAGCAATTCTGGTAGAATTTTTGTCCAAATCTGGTAGCATGTTTTTCCTACCAGAAAAAAATTCTACTATTACAAGGAGAGTGATCCCCACATACCCTGTACTAAGACTGTTGCCGGCAAGCCTCCTCCAGCATTTTACCAGGACTGTACTTCAGACTATTGCTAAAAATATCCATTACCAGAATGATTACAGTGCTACCAGATTGCGACTAGAAATGCTACCAGATTGCGACCATAAATGCTACCATAATATATGCCACGCTACCAGAATTTTTTTCAAAGTTCACAGCCCCCCCTTAAGTATGAGTATAAATCTTAAGATGACAGGACTGTTCAAACAGCTTGCGACCCTCTGTTTAGCATTGCCAATCAGGTTGATTCCTCTTGCGGGTCTAGTACATGGCTCCAGTAGGCAAAATTTTGGTGAAAAACAACCCACATTTTTAAAAGGTGGGTTATCGCATGGGAAAAATAACCCACAAAAGAACCCAGGAACCCATGAATAACCCATGAAATAACCCACAAATAACCCACAAATTTACACTCATGATCTGGGTTGATGGAGAACCAAGGATGTTAAGTATTTCATTCATTAGTAACATTAAAAAAAATTAATTTTTTAAAATAGGCCCAGCAGGTTCGTGGGTTATTCATGGGTTAATTTGTGGGTTATTTCATGAGTTATTCGTGGGTGAACCCAGGAATCCATGTTTTAAAACATGGATTATTTTTTGTGAAAAATAACCCACGTTTTTGGATTGTGGGTTATTTCATGGGAAAAATAACCTGCAATATCATGCCCCTGATGTTCAATTCAAAGGGGGGACACGCGGCATGTGTTGGTTCCAGAAGGCCCTGGATAAATCCAAGGCATTGCACGAGATTACGTGTACTCTTGGTAGTAGGTGTTAAGTGTGTATGAAAATT